GTGTAGGAACCTGACAAAATGTAGAATAGGTGATAGGAAAGGGAAAGAAACTGCTCAAAGTAAGGAACGACTGGGATGAGGGAAAGAAGGAAAAAGAAAGAAGGCAGGCAAAATATAAATGTATATATGAGTAGCTGCGATAACTGCACTGCTGATGTTGTATGGTATATTGAAAGGAACAGTTAATGCTTAACATTTTTTTATGTTCTGATCAATTTTGCATGCTTATATCTGGTAATCTGAGCAACTGATTTGGAGGTAATAATAGGCAATGGAATTACCATGGTGAATTCCTACCATCTTGTCTAGTGAAACTCTGTTATTTCTAATGTTTTACCTAATAATTATTTTCTTATTCGCTTTAGTGGTTTGAATAATTCCATTCTTACATCTGTAATCTGAGCAGTGTAGTTGAGGATAGCAATATGTAATATAACAACCATTGTTAATTCATATTATTTTGTCTTGAAACCCTGTATCACTTTAAATGTTCTTGCTTTCGTTTGTTTATGTTTGTGATACTGGTATGCTGCTGTTGTTCTTTTTTTTGTTTTGTTCTGTTTGTTCGTTTCTCATCTACTACTCTCTTTAAAATAAAATTTAAAAAAACCAGGCAGTTTATGAAGAAATTAAAGTATGCATTAAATTTATTTAAAATTCAGCCTTTGTAGTAGGTAATGAATTTTAAATGTAAATGGCTTTGATATAAAATCGGGGTTTTTAAAAGTGTACATGTGATATGTCTCCTAAATGAAACAGGGGTATTCCTCTATACACATTTAAGTAGTTGGAGGTAGTACATGGCAACATTCCCAGTTCTATCTCATCATCTCTTCCCTGCTTCCTTCACTCCTAATAGACCTAAGTGTTTTGGGTAGCAGTTTTATATGTTACCATGAATTATTCTACAATTGGGTATAGGAAACAATAGATCCAAGTGCAGTTACTTACTAAGTGCTTTCTCCTTTTGAAGGAAAGATAGGGTATCTGTATTTATGTGTTAAAGCCTAGAAAAAATTGACTAAATTCATGAGAATCATGTTTTGAACCTTTATTCTCATGTGCCAAGTACAGTGATCTATAGTAAGGATAAAAAGATATTGACATTGTTTTCAAGTAGGTCATTAATTTTATTTGTATGTTTATGAAAATTAATTTCTCTGGCTTTATTTGTTTACAGTTTTTTAATTTTTAAAGCAAGAAGCAGGTAATATGTATTCTAAATTTTATGCTAAACTTTTGTTTATTACTTTTTCATATTTTTGTTATAACATACTGTATAGTTCAGCCATTTAAAGTATAAAATTCAAGCTGAGTATGGCAGCGCATGCTTATAATCCCAGGACTACGGGAAGCTGAGGCAATCTAGTGAGACTCTGTCTCAAAAGCAAAAAAGTATAAATGACTGGAGTTCAATCCCCAGTACTAAAAACACAAGTATAAAATTCTTTTTTTTTTTTTTTTTTTTTTTTTTTTTGAGATAAGGTATCACAGTGTAGTATGGGCTGGCTTTGAATTCACTATGTAGAAGGAGGCGGCCTCAAATTCTTTTCTCCTGCCTCAGCCTCCCAAATGCTAGGCTTACAAGCATATATCATCATACCTGGCTCAGTTTATCACCTTTTAGTATATTCAGAATTATTTAACCATCACTGTAGACAGTGTCAGAAAATTTTCATGATCTCCAAAGAAACTTTATAACCATTAATAGTCACTGCACATTCCTCTCTTCTCCCAGTTCCTGGCAACCATTGATCTACTTCCTGTCTCTATAAGATTTCCTAATTATAGACATTTCATATAAATCAAATCATACATTATTTGATCTTTTGTGATTAGCTTCTTTCACCTGGCACGTTTCCAAAACTTATCCACATTGTAGCATGTGTCAGTACTTCTTTTACTTTTAAAGGCAAATAAAATTCCACTATATGGATGTGCTACATCTTTTACATCCATTCATCAATTAATGGACATTCAGGTTGTTTCCATCTTTTGTCTAATATTGCCATGAATGTTCATGTACAACTTTTTATGTGAATGTGTTTCATTTCTCTTGGGCATATATTGCTGGATCATATGATAACTACATTTAACACTCTGAGAAAATGCCAGTTTTCCAAAGAAGCTACACTATTTTACACTCACACGAGCAGTATATGAGGTTTCTAATCTCTCCACATTTGCTTACACTTGATATTACCTTTTTTTATTATATTCATCTTAATGACTTGCAATTCCCTGATGACTAATGACATTGAGCATGTTTTCATGTGCTCACTGGCCATTTTTGTCAGCAATTTTGCATCTTTCTGATCATTGCTTTATAGTCACATCTTCCTCTGACCACCACCTGGAAAGGTTCTCTTCTTTAAAAGATTTATGGCATTAGATTTTTCTCACATGGATAATCCAGGATAATCTCAAAAACTGCTTAACCTTAGTCCTTTCTCTTTTTTTTTGTTTGTTTTTTTTGTCTTTTTGAGACAGGGTCTGTTATGCAGTTCAGGCTGGCCTTGAGCTCACTTTGTAGTCCAGGCTGGCCTCAAACTTGCAACAATCCTCCTGCCTCAGCCTCTTGAGTGCTGGGATTACAGGCGTGCGCCACCATGCCACGCTCCCAACCTTAGTCCTTTCTGTAAAGTCCTTTTTTGTCATGTAAGGTCATATGTTCACAGGTCCTGGATATTATAATGCAGTCATCTTTGAGGACCGTATCTGAATAGCACAGCATAACAATATTAAAAGTCTTTTAATCCATAAACATGTACATTTTCCATTTATATAGGACACTTTTAATTTCTTTCAAGCATGTTTCATCTGTTTGTGTATAAGTCTTACAATTCTCTTGTGAGTTTTTAAAAATTATTTTATTCTTTTTGAGCAACTATAAATGAAATTATATTCTTAATTTAATTTTTGGATCTCCATTGTTATAATATAGACATGTATTTATCTTTATATGTTGATCTTGCATCTTGCAATTTTCTTTTATTTTGAGACAGGGTCTTTCTTATGTAGTTCAGGCTGGCCTTGAACTAAACATATAGCCCTGGCTGGCCTCAAACTAGGGATGATTTGTCTGTCTCAGCCTCCAAAGTGCTGGGATTACAGACATGTGACACCATGCCCGCTCCTGCAACTTTCTTGAACTTGTTTATTTTTCTAATAGATTTTGTATGGATTTCTTGGAATAGTCTGTTTTAATGATAATGTTGTCTGTGAGTACAGGTGGTTTTACTTCTTCCTTTTCAATATGGATTCCTTTTATTTTGCTTTTTTTTTTTTTCTGTCTGATGATCCTGGCCAAAATTTCCAATATAGTATTGAGGTGGTAAGAGCGGACATCTTTGTTTGGTTCTTGAAGGTAATGGGAAAATATTCAGGCTTTCATCATTAAGAATGATGTTACTGTGGATTTTGCATTAATCCCTTTTATGATGTCAAAGAAGTTTCCTTTCCTTCCCAGTTTGTTTGGTGTCATTATCTTGAAAGGATGTTGGATTTTTGTCAAGTACTTTTTCTCCTTCTTTTGAGATGATAATGTGTTTCTTAATAGCATAATTGAGGTACAATTCACGTCTTAAAATTCACCCTTCGAAAGTGTACAATTTGGTGGTTTTTAATAGTTACAGAGTGTGCAACATCACCACTGTGTAATTTGAGAACATTTTCATTACCCCCCAAAGAAACCCTGTACCCTGTCTTCAAACCCCTGGCAGCCACTATCATACTTTCTGTTTATGGATTTACCTATTCTGGATATTTCATATGAATAGAATCCTATCATATGTGACCCTTTTTGTCTTGTTTCTTTCACTTAGTGAGTTATTTCCAAGATTCACCCATATTGTAGCACCCAACAGTACTTAATTGTTCTGATCAAGACAGGCCTTTTCAGCAACCCCCATCTTGGTAAACTTACTGTCTTAGATACTTTTCTCATTACTGGGACAAAATACCCAACACCCACAGTTTAAGGAGGAAAGGTTTATTTAGCTCACAGTTTGTAGAAGTTTCAGTCCATAATTGGTTGGCTCCAAGGCAGGGTGACTTCACAGAGGAGAGTAATTCATGGCAGGCAGAGGACAGCAAAAGCAACAAGGTGGGGGGCAGGGGACAAGCCTCTTTCTGTCCCTTATATTATATCCAGTGTACCAGGACCAGGGCAGTACCAGTCCAATCAGTGGAGTGATCCAGCAATCACCCATCCTTAATCCAGCACCCTTAATCCCAGTGTTGCACCAGGAATCATTCACATACTAGAGTCAGCCATCTCCAGGAAAAAAAGAAAAAGTCCTGTGATGGCATGAGGCTTTTGGGGGACATCTAAACACAAACCATAACACTTACGGTCTAAACTTAAGAGCTTGGGGTTGGGGATTTAGGTCAAGGGCACAGTGACTGCCTGGCAAGCGCAAGGTCATGAGTTCGATTCCCGGTACCGGAAAAAAAAAACAAATAAAAAAATAAACTTAAGCGCTTAAATTCTTTCTCACACAAAGCCATCTGTCTCCAATTGTTTATCACCAAACCATCATGGTTTAAATGTGGAATAGTGTGACTTGAACTCCTTCATATTCTGTTTCAAATAGTCATTTCTCTTGAGGATGGATTGGAAGCTCTCTAGCAAATAGCCTTTAGCTTGGGGAAAATCGTGAAGCGAGTACTTTTAGTACTGAGCAGTGGAAATAGCCAGTGGTCTTGGTTACCTTTTCAGATGTGGAATTTAGTTCTGCAAGTGAGCTGGGGTAAGGTAATCAGTATACTGAGCCTTCCGTGCCTGGAGCAGAACCTGCCCTAAGAGTAGGGGCTGGCTAAAGGAAGCAAGCCATTGAAATCTTGGCTGTAGTCATCATTTGTGTTAGATGTGATGAGTAACCCTTCAAATCTGTGTTGGAGTTGATGAGGAATCCTGGTTGCTTGTGCTTCCCGTTGAAATACTATATCCCTTGATTGAGAGCTGCAGACAGAGGGAGTCCAGTCTTCTTGGCCATTACCTGCAATGTAACTTGCATCAAGGTGAGCAACAGATGGGCAATACAAATCGACGAGTGATCGTAGCTCATAGGCCGTAGACCCTCACTGTTACATTACTGAGTTTTAGCAGGTTCTTGAATAAATGTTTCATTTTCTCTATGCCCTTAGGATAATTTCCATCAGTTTCCAACTAAAAAAATACTCTTCGCCAGTTACGGATGTTTTACTAAGGAACAGTTCCACCGGACTTTTTATGCCACAATTATGGGAGTGGATTCCTTGTCCTATATTGACTTTTTAGTAAAGTAGAATTCTGTGAAGGTGGTAGAAGCCTGGCTATACTAAGCTGTATAGATGAATTATTTTTTAAAGCAATCATATAATATTTTTACTATTATCTATTTATTAGCTTTCAAGGTATAATACTTGCTTAGTTTTTATTTCTCCATATGTGAATCTTATTATAAAATTGTTTTACTTTTTAAAAATTATTTTAATGACAGATCTCTCTGCTTGCTACTGTGAGTTTTAGGTTTGCCTCCAGTATCTGCTGCTGTCACTACTACTGCTAGTTCAAGCACCATGCTGTTTACTTCAATCTCAAATGTTTCTACCTCCACAGCTGCTACGGAGCTCTTATGTAAGTTATACTTATTCCAAAGAACAGTATTATTTTAATTTGCCAATGTAAGCTACAGATCTCTATGGTTCTGTATGTAATAAATTATCATTATATCGGAACTAACTGTTGCTATCGATAGTAGCTTTGCTTAGAGCCTGATTGTCATGGTTTTAGCTGTAAAGTTTTTTTTTTAACTAACATGGTTATAATAGCCTAGTTATTATAGCTTAAAATGATAAATTTAAACATCTAATTCATTAACTGTATGATACTTTGAAACAATTTCTTGATGCCATTAAGAATAGGAAGAGAGAGTTTTGCCAAGTGTGTCTCAAGGGACAAAGTCCTTGTTATCCATGTGAAGAAGATAAAATGTCAAATAAATGTTAGAGACTTGATATAAGTATTCTTCTACATAGACAAGGTCTGTGGTCTTTATATCTTACCTATCAAAAATGGGACATGGCAAAGAACCAGCTATAGTTATGGGACTCTAATTGACATTCATGTGATGTGTGTGTGATGTCCTGAAAAGGAATACCTAGATGCTTTGAGCTGAGAGGTGGGACATTCATTATCTTATAACTTCAACTTCCACATTATCATATCTTCCATTACTAGACTAATGACAGATGTTAAAAATATTGTATTGTCTGTATTTTAGGTAATTCTTTGCAGATACTTATAAACTGACTGTGCCTTCGAGGTATTTTCACAGTACCTTGATGCTCATTGTTAACCTTTGTTGTATTGTAACCCTAGCTATAATATGGTCCCCTCTAAGTTTTATAATAGCGAGATTGTTTGTATTTCTGGGAACCAGACTTACCAGGGCATTCTGATGCTTAGTTTAGCATGAATAATGGCATACAATACTCATCTCCTTGTGCAGTTGGCATAGGTAAATACTAGTTAGAATTGTCAGTTATTATATGATTTACATTTTCTACTAAGACTTTAGTTTTGAGACATGACTGTGATTCTGGAATTCTTTTGAAATATGTAAGTAATGTCCTTCTCAGTTATAATGAGTTCAATGAATGTGATTTGATGAATATGACCATGCCTGAGATTTGGAGTTCAATTATTGAACTACATGTAATCCTATGTTTAAAAACTTGCCCTCTGACTTTTCACAGGTTTTTATCCCCTTTCTGCCTCTGATGTCCTTCCCTCCAAAATGAAAAGATACCTGAATCACAGTACATTTAATTAACTTTAATGAAGTATAACTTGCATATCATAAAATCAACTTTTTTTAAATGTACATGTCAGTTACTCAGTTGTGTACCTATCACTATTATCTAGTTTTGGAACCTTTCCCGAAGCTGTAGATCACCACACTAATCTATTTTCTACCTCAATAGATTTGCCTTTTCTGGAATTTCATGTAAATTGATTGACCATGGTTTTTTAAGTTTCTAAGAAACTTTGTAGATTCTATATATTACTCATTTTTTTTACTAAAAAGATGATAGTTAATTTTGTCTTGTTCTCTGTAGTTGGTGCTCCAACTTCAACTAGAACACTTGGTGGTATAACCCTGGAATTTGGACCAAAATTCTGTGGAGTGGGTCATGCAGTTTCGACATCTAGTAAGTGTTTAGAATTATTGAGATGTGTTGGGGCACTCATTTGAAATGTACTACATAACAAACAGTAAATGTATAATATGCATATCACTTCTAGGACTGTCAAAGTGTGTTGTGATTGTCTTATCATAGTCTCCAAATGGCATACCAATATAGATGATTGCCAAAGGGTAGAATGAGACAGTTGATATCAATGACAGTACTTTTTTGACCATTCATCTGTCAATGAACAATGAAATAATAATATAATAATATAATATAATAATAATATAACTGATAACCTGCCTTGAACATTGCACATTGCACATTGACTACATGTATTGAATATCATACTGTACCCCATAAGTAGGTATAAATACCACATATCAAATAAACATTATAATTAGGGTTGGGAATATAGCTCAGTGGTAGAGCAGTATGCACTAGGCCCAGCATTAAAAATTTTTTAAATGATATTTCTTCTTTGAGGTGACAAAACTATTATCAAATACTTGTCAGTTTTATACTTAAGAATTTATTAGTTACAGTGTTTAATATATTGGGATTAATAGAGATTTTTTCCTCTAAATCTTAAATTTTGACATCTAGTAAAGTTGATCCTATCCTAAAGTTGATTCCAAACCATTCTAAGTTTGTTTCTACCAATGAGAAGCTAGTTAAGTTGTAGATAGAAGAAAACTGTTATTTATTATCTGTAGCTATTTTGAGCTAGGTGTTCGGGTTTCATTTGCTATTTAAACTGACCATTTAAATAGGAAAGTCTTGTTTTGTTTTGTTTTTCTTTTAATTTTCTTAGGGCTGAAATGAATCTTTCTTCAAACCTGGCATAAGATAAAAGTCATCTCCTTTTGAGCTTAAAATAATAATTCCTAAATGATCAATATTTGCTGAGTTTCTACCATGCAGTAGCTTAACTGGCCAACCACTGAGAATTGTAAATAACTTTACAAGTTACCATATTTACAAAATATGTAATTTATACTTCGACCCATAAAATATTGAAAAAGCTGATTGTTTCATTCATGAATTGAGTCACTGAAATAGGAATTAACAAGCTCTTTGGTGACTGTCATAACCTACTTTTTGTGTATCTCAGCCTCAAATTCCTTCTTGTTAACTGGTGTACTCTTGCCTCTATCCCATCCCTTAGCATCATTCCATTTGCCACTACTTTATGTACTTACCCTCCTCACCATCAGATAAGGTCTCAGCCTGACACACTCAACCCACAATTTTTTTCCCTACTCATCTTTCCTTCTACCCAAATTTATTTACTTGTTCAGGTACTTCATCTCACAAACCAACCTTGCAGAACAGCTTTTAAGCACCTATATCTGAAAATGTACAGGTCTTTAGGATTACCATCCGGCCTAGGTATAATCCTCAAGGTTTGAAGAGAAGCTTCAATCTCAGTCACATTTTTCTGGTGAATCTGTGAAGGTGATAGCGTCCAATCCCAGTATAGATTAAGACATACAGTTGCTGAGCAGGAACGGGACTGGAAAATTGTACCATGAGATCTCTTAAAGGATATTTTCATCACTTTATATAATGATTAAGACTGTCAGAATGAAATGTATTTAAATGTAAATCCAAATTTGGATTCAGTTATTTTGTATTATTTATAGAACTGTACTTCCTTTTCACTACACAGATAGTGTAGAATTGACTATATTAAATTAGACTGAAGTTATAACTTGCAAAATCATACTGTGATAGAACCTTCACTGTCAAGTCTATTGCTTCTTTTAGTTTTAATTAAAAATATTGTTGTTATTTGAATATGCCAGAACTAATTTACACCTTTGAAAATAGCATAAAATATAAAGAACAAAAAATACTGTACAAAAAAGATTAAAACAGTTTTATCACTTTTTTATCAGACTCAGTATTCCAAGACTCAATATTCCTTTGTGTTTAGGCTGACAGGTATTAATTTTCCAAAGGTATCTTTCGATATCTTTTATGGGAGGTGTTTTGTTTTCTCTATTCAACTGTTTCTTTAGTGGTGATGTAATAGCATCACTTCCTCTAGGGAGAACCATTTGATGTTTGTAGCTTTTTTCTGAAGTATATAAAATGTACATTAAATTTACCGTTTTATAAAAATGGTATCATATTGTCCCATTCTCAGTCCTAGAATTTGCCATTTCTTCTTAAATGTATATCTTTCAATATCTGTCCATGTCAGAAAATACAGAATTTTGTTTAGAAAACAATCTTTGGTTGAAGATATTTTCCTTTACAAGAAGGATACTTATAAATTTTTTTCTTCATTTCTTGACTGTAGTATTTTTTCATATAGTTGTTGCTTTTGTTTAAAAAATGCTTTCTTTCTTGAATAATAGTTACTAGTTTGAGTGAATTCGTCAAGAGTGCCTGTATTGATAAGATAATTAATTTTCAGCATTTATGAAGTAGGATCTTCTTTCAGATAAATTTTTGTTCTCAGATGAGGAAAATGACATCTGGCTGTCAAAAAACAAAACACAACAAAACAAAACACTACCTAAGAACCAATCTGAGAGGAATACTTTATGACTGGGCAGAGTCCTCCTCCATGGTGCTTATTTCACCCTCAAAAGGACCAACACAAAGAATGGAGAAATATTGCAAGGATCCTTGTACTAAAAGGAAAATTGAGTCTTGCAAAAATCAAATACAGCCACTGCTGTGTCACTGTTACTTCAGGGAAATTGGAATTCAAGAATTGTTCAGCTTTAGAGTCTGCCTAGATCAAATATTGCAGCAAATTAATTCGGTTATTTTTCCTTCATCTATTTTCTTTCTTTTTTTAAGCTTTTCACTGGTTTTACCTCTTTTGTTGTCTTTTTGTTTAGCTTTACTAATAATTTTGATGTACTCATGATCCCTTACTTGTGTTTCATGTCTTTCCTGTGTTATTTCTCGTTGAACTCTTTCTGCCTGCAGCCTGATACCTTCTACACTTTTGGAAACATTTTCAAATTTCTGCCTATAATTTCATTCTTTTCATACTTCTGGAAACATTCCATGTTTCTACCTAGAGTTGCATTCTTCCGTATTGCTAAATTTTTGAAACTACTGATCCCTCTTATCCATGTTTGGCTAGAACATTTTGTGCTGAAGCCTCTCATAGACATAAGAAATGGCTCTCTGTACCTGGACACAATCAACTGTGAACCAGGAGCAAAGAACAGTTATTTGGAATAAAGAAGGGGTGTCTGAGCCTTTTCCCTCAGCAGGAATAGTGTAGGCCAGGCTTCCTTGGAATAGTCGGTACTTGTGGCAGACACCATAATTTCCATATTTACATAATGTAATCATTAGCCTGAAAATATTGCTAATTGAAAAAGCAAGGCCAACATAAGACAAACAAGTATGTACATGTTATATTTCTATAACAAATTCCACATTACAAAAAATAGCATTTAATTGCAAGAACATTTGAAAATATATAGAACCAAAAAGAAGAAAGGAAAATATTCCCAATCCTTCTCAGCCACAATTTTCTCTGCATTGTTCTTTAAGTGGTCAGTATGTAGTAAGAATCGAAAGTGCTGCTAAAGTTCACAAAGCCAGAAGAAAACTATGACTAAGAGAGACATGGGTGAAAAACACGGGCAATGAATTCAAGGTAGACTGTAAAATAATCTCATGGTTTCATCTGTAAGAGCACAAGGTGTTCTACTAGGGGTGCAATAGAAGAAGACATAAGAAAGAAGTCTGGGCTGTAGATAAAACTCTGCGAGGCTTTTGCCTGATAGGTTAATGAAGATATGTGCCTAGGACTAGCCATAGTGTAGAGAAACAGACATTCTGCCCTATTCATAGGAATGTATATTGGCAAAACCATTTTGGTGGGATAATTTAATTAGATACTAAAATTTAGAGCATGATCTAACAATTTGATCTATCAGTTTCATGTGTAGGAATTAATTATACAGATATAAGCATATAAATACTCAAAAATGCACAGAGATTTTTTTAAAATTGCAGTTACTCTTTCCTGGAAAATTTAGTAAAATTTACCAGTGAAGTTATGTGAGTCTGAAGTTGTATTATATTAGTTCCCATCACTGAGACACAGTACCAACACCCACAACTTAAAGGAGGAGAGGCTTACTTTGTCACATGGTTTCAGGGCATTCTAGGGTCTGTCAGCTCAAGGTAGGAATATCATGGCAGAGGGGCATGCCAGATTAAAGATGCTTAGTTCATGGGGACTGGGAAGTGGATCGCTGGAACAGCACCAGGGAGGAAAAGGCCAGGGACCAGATATAAAGCCCAAGGTGATACCTCCACGATCCACACCAACACACCTGAAAGTGTACTGTGCTAACCCTCCCCCAGCCATCTCCCATGCCAATGAAGTTGATAATTAACCTTAATACTCACAGGAGTTTTCTTTATGGGAAGAGTTTTGAGGATTGATTCAATTTCTTTTCTTTGTTTTTGTTTGTTTGTTTGTTTGTTTTTGAGACAAGGTCTCACTATGTAGTTCAGGCTGGCTTTACCTCACTACATACTCCAGGCTGGCCTCAAACTTGAAGTGATCTTCCTGCCTCAGCCTCCCTAATGCTGGTGTTACACATGTGCACTACCATGTCTGGTTTGATTGAATTTCTTGAATGGTTATAAGAACTTGTTAAGTTTTATTTTATTTTTCAGTTAATTTATCCAAGAGTTTTAGTTTTCAGCATGAAAGTTAATCCAGATATTTGGTCTGCTATATATCACTTCATATTACAACAGTATTAAGTTTAAAACTACAATTTTGAGTTCACACACGCATTTTTAAAAATGGCTTTCTAGTTTTTAACTTTAAATGATCAAGGCTTAAAGGAAACATTTTTTATTTCTTACTAACATTATTTATTTTATTTTCTAGCTACAACTTCCACAACTACCACCACCACCGTTACCACCAACACCACTACCACAATTACCAGTGGCTCTAATCTGAGTCTGAGACCATTGACATCAACTGGGATTAGTAACACTGCTATACCTCTTACTTCAACTGTCAAGTAAGCCTATTTGTTTTTTTTTAGAAATATATATATATTTTAAAATTTATTTTAAAGATAAAAGAAGAAAAACATATTAACAAACAGACATTTACAAAATAGCATAAGAACAATACAAACAATACTGAGTTACAGACAAAGTTGTAGGAAATTAATAATGGTTGCTGTATTAATTTATTTGAAAATTAATGTGAGTTTCATTTTATCATGTTGGAGGCATAGTTTGCTTGTGTAGCTTTGGAATAGCATTTGAAGTTAGGTAAATGAGTTCAGGTAACAGTGAAAGGTTTCTGTAGCTTACGAGGATGAATAACCAACAGTTTTTTGAATAACATTATAATATATTCATTAACATTACTAATAATAGCTTCTATTTATTGTGTAATTGCTATATGTTTAGCAAGGTGACAATGGTTTAAAAACATCATTTAATCCTCACAATGACATTATGAAATAAAGACTATTTTTGTTCACACTTTATAGATGAGAAAACTGGAGCACATAGGCATTTTATGAATATAATTCACTCACAGTCACATACTTAGTAATGATTGAGCCAGGATTAAAAATCAGGCAGTTGAGCTCTAGCAGGCATGTTCAACTTGAGGCCCTCAGGTTTTTTTCTGTTCATTTCTACTTTTATGACAAAAAAATTTTAAAGGAAATTTCATTACTTATATTCATTAACTATATTACAAACTTTATATGTGGCCCAAGACAATTCCTCTTCATTCAGAAAAATAAGGGCAACATTACTATATGCCACAAGTTGGACACTCCTGCGCTAGAACTTGTATTGTTATAGACTATATAAAACATCTGTGTGTGCTTTAGATTGTTTCCCCCAGTGATAACATCTTAGAATACTATAGCATAATCTCACAAGCAGGATTTGACATTAATACAGTTAAGACACAGAACATTCCATCACTACAAAGATTTTCCTGTTGCCCCCCACCTTTTTTTATCTTTTGGAGACAGGGTCTCGCTATGTAGTTCAGGATGGCCTTGAGCTCACTTTGTAGCCCAGGTTGGTCTCGAACTCTCAACGATCCTCATGCCTCAGCCTCCTGAGTCCTGGGATTACAGGTGTTGCCCTTTAATAGCCACATGTATTACCTTTTTTTGATTCCCTAACCCTGGGACACAACTGATTTTCTCCTCATTTCTATAATCATGACATTTCAGGAGTGTTCTGCAGATGGATACATACATGTATGGCTGTCAGGGATTGGCATTTTCATTCACCATAATTCTTTGAAATTCACTCAAGTTGTTCTTTTTCATCTCTGAGTAGTATTCCATGGTATTGTGGTGTACTATTGTTTATTTGGCCACTCACTTGTTATTGTACTTCTAGGCTGGTGTAAATATTTCTATAAATTTTTCTGTGAACATAAGTCTGTTGGCTCTGGAATAAATGTCAAGGAGTATAGTTACTGGGTGGTATGATGATTGTGTGTTTATTTAAAGAAATTACCAACTTCTTTTCTGGAGTGGTTATGTCATTCTATGTGCCAGCCATCAATGTATGAGTAATCTAGATAGTCCATATTCTTGTCAAATTTGGGTGTTATCACTGATTTTTTTTTTTTTTTTTTTTTTTTTTTTTGAGGATAAAAGAAGGGAAACATTAACAGACATACAGCATTTTACAACATATCACAAGCACAATACAGACAATACAGAGTTCCAAACGAAGTGGTAGGGAATTAACAATGGTGGTTGTATTACATATTGATATCTTCAAAGTGGCTTCTCATGAAAACAGATATAGACATGCAATACTGGTCAACC